AAGTGTTCCTATATTGTTTCTTGGATCATTGATTAAAGATAGAGAGAGTTAGAGATGGAAGAAGATGGAAATTTGCAGATTGGTAATAGTAATTACAATGGAGAAGAAGAAGGAGATCCAGAGAGTAACACTATGAATCAACCTCTTCTTAAGAGACATAGAACTCTTTCTTCAACTCCTCTTGCTTTGGTTGGTACCAAAGTTTCACACATCGAGAGCTTAGATTATGAGTATGTTTTCGTTATCTTCACATAAATAGATTTTCAGGTCTCCATCTCTATATATAAAGTTTTGATCCTTTTTCAGATATATTTTCAATTTTTTAGAATTATTTGTTTGGATTCTTGTTTTTCAGTCTCTTTGTATTAAGTTTTCTCATATATTCTGGGTCTCAATATATTTCTCTAAAGTTTAATATTTATCCTGATTTTCAGAACAAAATTTATTTTTTCAAAAATTGGATGAATATAGTAGTGATTGAGACATATCTTCAAGCAATCATCAGCCAAATCTTGAAAAGTATCAAGATCAAGAAATTGGGTTACTTTTTGTTTTAGTTGCATGATAAGTCTTGGTCTCAATCTCTTTTCTATTACTTTACTCTGTTTTCAAATAATCTTCATTTTTTATTAAAACAAAAAAAAAACAATAGGAAAATATTCAGTGTTGGAGGCTTATATGGTATGTACTGGTGTAATAATTCTGTAGAAATTTAAATGTTAAATTTGTGAATTTTTTTTGCAGAATAAACGAGAATGATCTGTTCAAGCATGACTGGAGAAGCAGATCAAAGGCACAAGTTTTTCAATACATATTTGCAAAATGGACATTAGCTTGTCTTGTTGGTCTCTTAACTGGTCTCATTGCTACTCTCATCAACCTCGCCGTCGAAAATATCGCCGGTTACAAACTTCTCGCTGTCGGCTACTACATCGGTCAAGATAGGTACTGAACTCACATTCCAAATCTTTAAAAAAACATAAAAGATCAAGAAGTTGAGTTACCTTGTATGATAAGTCTATATTCAAATAGGTTTATGACAGGTTTGATGGTCTTTACCGGGGCGAATTTGGGTCTGACTTTGGTGGCGACAGTACTTGTTGTTTACTTTGCTCCTACGGCGGCTGGTCCCGGGATTCCCGAGATTAAAGCTTATCTTAATGGCGTCGACACTCCCAATATGTTTGGTGCCACCACCATGCTC